TAAGTGTTTCTTTAACCAGAGGAAGAAACCTTAAGTCTCGGCTGCACTGTAAATCGTCTCAAGCTGCCAACACTGAGGGGTAAGTGAAAGAAAAACCATCTCTAGGCTGAAACTAAACATTCAAACTGCTTTTTACATGTATGAGTAACACTTTACCCTTATTTTACAGGTTTTGTTTTGAGGAAATGTCCCAGTGGTCTCATTCACTAGAGAGACTTCTATCATCCAAATGTAAGTTACCTAGTCCACAGTCCAAAGATTAAGTTCCACATCCTTTCTCGACAGTGGCTAACTTCTGCTCTTTGTTCTTGTCTGTTAAGATGGTACGAAGATATTCCAGGCCTTCCTGAAGTCCGAGTTCAGTGATGAGAACATTGAGTTTTGGAAAGTGTGTGAAGACTTCAAAACGATCAAGTCATCCTTCAGGATGTCGTCCAGGGCCAAAAAGATCTTCAAACGCTACATCCAAGCTGAGGCTCCGAGAGAGGTAAGCACAGAGATCACACAAATTTACAGTTTTACAATACTGTACTTACCACCACTGCATATACTTAGGTGTTTATCAATCCTTATCATGTCTCCTCATCCCTCTAGATTAACATTGATCACAAGACCAGGGAGCTGATCAGGTGGAACATTAAGGCGCCCACCACAGTGTGCTTCGATGACGCACAGAGGATTGTGTTTGGGCTAATGGAGAGGGACTCTTATCCACGTTTCCTCAAGTCTGACATTTACCAGGCTCTAATGGACTCCATGTTGGAATCAGTGAAGTTGTAAAGAACGTAGACACTGGGGACATTGTATTTGTCAAAGCTGTGTCAAAATGCTGACAGTGAACTTATGACAGACTCAACCTGAGAAAAGCTATTGTGGGTGTTTGCTTGTCTTTGGGAAGAGCACAGCCAACAGCATTCAAAACATTCAAAATGTTCAGCACATTCATGCCTTTCTTTTCGGCTGGAGAAGCCATGTTTTGCGGATGCACCTGTTGTAATAGTGCCTGTAGAGCAAAGCGAAAGACTTCCCATAAATGCAACGATTTCTACAGTAACAAAGAGAGGGACTTTCTGTGACAGATGCCAGGAAGTGGATGTGTTACACCTAACACCTTCCACCCAAGACTGAAAAGCTACATTTGCACAACGTCTTATCTTTGGTCTGTTGTTATGACTAAACCAACAGATCAGTAGATGGCATCAAGACGTGGATTTTTCTGTCCTCTGTGCTGTCACGCTAAACTATCTGTTATGTAATGTTACAAAGAACCTAATCTGTTAAGAGATATAAGATATACTCCACAGTGTCTGAAAGCATCATGAGTGTGACTATTAAGATGGATTTGCGCATGATTAATAAACAGTAATTCTTTTTGAACAAATTATTTAAATTGTAGAGTCTCGTAATGACTAAAATATGTTCTTATCAAACAGACAACAACAAACCAAATCTGGTTTCTAAAACTTTTTACTCACATCTCATTAAAATCCAAGGAACTTAATCACATACTCTCCAGTTCATTCA